GGTGCTGATCCGTGGGCAATATTTCTTTTTCTATGGTAAACCTCTTTGTTCTCTCCTAGGTCTGGCAGAGCTGGGCACAGTCTGTGACCCATACAGGAGCTGTTCCATTAGTGAAGATAACGGACTGAGCACTGCTTTCACAATAGCACATGAACTTGGCCATGTGTATGTTTTATGTAAATACATTTACATTTAAATAGCCCAAGATTTATGCTAGCTAGGGCTTGCCAGCCAGGCTGGGACTTGGTACCTGCTGAGCATAATTATTTGTGAGGAGATAAATACACTTGGGTAGAAGATGCACCACTGAGGAAGATTAAGCTGTGATGTGACTCTGGGAGGTGGTGGGGTGCTCTGGAGCCTATCTGAGAGCAGCAAAAGCAGCAGGACCCACATTTTCGGGAGGATGAGTGATAGGGTCCCCCAAGCAGCACCTAAGCAAGGGAGGAGAGCTAACAAAAGGTCTGTTATTACTGCCTTTTCTCACATCTACATGCGGATGTCAGCAGGATCTGCCCCAGCAGCCCTGGTGTCCTGGCCAAGCCACTGGGACTAGCCAGGATTTTGGCCAGAGCTGGGAGGTGCTGGGTGCCTCAGGGAGGAGCAGGGCGAGGGTCATGGGCACATCTCACCTGGCCTTCGGGACTGAAGCCTGCTCCGAGTGCAGGTCCTCCGCCTGCCGCAGCTTGTCCCACCGCCACGTGTGGTGCTGCGGAAGGCAGCCCAGCAGATCTGCGTGAAGGCAGGAATTCACCCAGGGCATCTGTACAAATGAGCCTGACCCACCTCCCAAACAACTTCACCAGGGAAAATCTCATGCTGCTGGACATCCCCAGAAGAGATGCTGTCGTTCGAGATGCACCTCCTCCAGCAGAAATTTCTTTTAGCTGATTTTGACTTGGTTTGAGAGCGGTAGTGAGGAAAATCATCTTAGATCACCTAGTCCTTTACCCCCTAGCTACAGCTCTTGGGCAGCTGGTTTGCAGTGGAGGTCTGTAGGTGCGGGATGGGTGAGTACTCAGGAACAGATCTCCCATTGTTTTAAACTGCCTTTTTCTTCCCGGAGAGCTGGCGGAGACAGTCTATTTTTAACCACAGTAGTATTTGTTTAAATGAGATTTCCTGACAGAAAGTCCCCAAAGGTTTGGCGTTCCCCACACCTAACCTGTGGCTAATTCCTTCGCTAATGCTGCCCCAGAGCTGCCGGAGGGGTTAGCGGCGCTCCCGAGCAGGAAATGCCTCTTTGCTCTTTTACAGGGAGCAGAGCGAAAAGGTGGCTCATTGGAGGCAATCTTAATGGGATAGAAACTCCCCAGCCTTCGAACGCAGGATCACACCGGGTCATTTCCCCTTCTCCACTTCAAACAGCAAAGTGCTTTAAGCCGTTCTGTCTCCCTTACCGTATTTGCCGCATTCTTCAATATGTCATGTGCTGCAAACTTTGCCTGGGTTTCTGCTGATATTGATGCTTGATGGCATTTTGTAAACCTACCGCATAAAGTATAGGAGCCAAGTCTATCCCCGGTGCAACCCTATTTAGGCAACAACATTGAGGGATCAGCGTGGCCCAAGGCCTGTGGCAGCCAACGTAGGGTGCTGCCTGTGAGGGACTTCAGGCAGCGGTGGTCCGTGGGCTCAAGTCGTTCATCTCCTTCAGAAACCTGTTCCCCCCACATCAGCTCTTGTCTCTCTGGCTCAGTTCCAGAGAACTTGCCATTTTTATGAAGGTGGGGCCAAACTCCAGCCTGCCTGCAGGATGGTGACTGTCAGCTGAAAAGGAAACTGCAGCTGAAATTGCATCTTACTCCAGGCTATCCCAAGGACTTGTCTGGCTATAATATATGCGGTCGTGGTGTGGGGAGCTTACCAGGGTCCTGCAAAGCTTTTTGCAGACAAGAGCTAGGAACCCAATTTGAGCAATGCTCATTGACACTTATGAATATGTGCATATTAATACTTTTATTCTCTAGTATCTGTCAGTAGCGTATCTAGGAAAAATTCTTGGGTTTGCTTACATTTAGTCCTCACTGTTGCTCTTGCTGTACTAAACACTTGGCATTTGCCACTTAACTGACTGTGCTTTTCACTGCTGTTGTTCCCTTAGATTTAACATGCCACACGACGACAATCATAAGTGCAAAGAAGATGGAGGTAAAAATCAACAGCATGTCATGGCACCGACGCTGAACTTCTACACCAATCCCTGGATGTGGTCAAAATGCAGTAGGAAATACATCACTGAATTTCTGGAGTAAGGCCCTGCATGTGCACGTCCTTAGGCTGTTTTGACATGTTCCTGCATCCCGTGGGGTTCATCAGTTAATCTGAAATCCTAGTGTGCAGCGTTTGGAGGAAATCAGAGGGATTTTTGTGTGCACGCATCCTTTACATAGAGCAGGGGCCATCCAGTCCCTGCCAGTTCAGCCTCGTGATAAGCTGGCAAGGACCAGCTTCTCTATGGGGTGGAATAAGTCTTCCCCCATGGATATTGCTTTTAAGGAATGTGCGTTCTCCTCGAACCTGAAGAGTGAGTTTTTCCAAGCCCTGTGGCCCAGATATGGAGCTGTGTTTTAGGAGGCAGATTGAATCGGCCTTTCTGCTCCACGGGTCAAGATAAAGCCCTGGCACTCGTCCATGGTGGGAGCACTGTTCCAGGAGCCCATGGGTCAGTTTGATGAACAGCGATCGCCCATTTTTGCTGTGATGCCTTCCCACGTGTTGTGATGGGGAGCAGAACGAGAGCCACGATGGTGTCCTGGCAAAATCTAGGAGCTCAGTCCCTCAGGCAGTTGTTCTGCTAATCAATGATTTTCTTTCTAAATATATACCAGAGTGTGCTCAGCAATGCGAGTCGTGCATGCTCAGAAATGCCTTTGCCAGGGTAGCTGACAGCACTGTGGCGGTCAGTTCTTAGCCGAGCACGGGGGTGGCGGTGAATGGGTAACGCAGCCTCCTGCCCTCCTCTGCTTGAGTCTGCAGTAGCTGTTGTGTAGTGCTTGTTAAATATGGCATATGTGGTGTGTGTTTGCCCGAAGGCTGGCTCAGGTAAACACCGATGGGTTCTGGTCTCATCACCTCCTGTTTAACACCATTTTTCCGCTTTGTGTTGTAGCACTGGTTATGGGGAGTGTTTGCTTGATGAACCTTCATCAAGAACTTACGCCTTGCCTCAGCAGCTCCCGGGGCTGATTTATGATGTCAACAAACAATGTGAGTTAATTTTTGGACCTGGATCTCAAGTGTGCCCGTATATGGTAAGTGAAGTTCCGCACCTTGGTTTTCCTGGTGTTGCCAGGGCAGAGTAAGGCCTCCTGGGGTTGGATGAATGGGAGGCTCACAAGCCATCAAATTATTGTCAAGCTTGTGAGTTAATGATAAGTCTTAGGGGGATAATTTCATAAAGAATCATTGATCCAGTAAGGCACATAGCACATATTTATTTAATATTTTGATCTTTTCAATAACTTAAGCAGATGCAGTGTCGGCGACTCTGGTGTATTAACATTGATGGCGCGCACAAGGGATGTCGTACCCAACACACACCTTGGGCTGATGGGACAGAATGTGAGCCTGGAAAGGTCTGTAATACCTGGTGGTTCGTGCCTCATAGCTCTGTTTCCCAGGGCTCAGGCTAAGCATATCAGTCAAAATCATCCTATCCCAATGGCCAGTTGTATGGGGCGCCGCTTCTGACCGCAAGGGTGGAAGCCCAAAGAAGCTCTGTGTGTTTTAAGTCTGGTATGTGTAGGTCAACTCTATGCCAGATAATGTGATTAAAGTCGACTGCTTGGCATAACATTTAAAGCAGGTATTCCTTCTGGAGCGCTTATCTTTTTAAATTAATGCCCTTGAGTGAACTTTGAGCAAAACGTTTGCAAAGCTTCCTTAGGCTTTTATTAGAAATTTCCTATGCGATGTGAGCAATTAGTAATTTTGTGTAACGTAAACTTGCCAACTGGCTTCTCATCTTGACAGTTTCAGAGTAAAATACAGAACCGGTTGACGTTTTTCTGTATGGAACAGTTTTGGCAGTAATTCATAGAACCTTTCAGTTTCCGTGTGCGATGCTGGTTTCCAGCTAGCATTGTGGTTTCTAGAAGTAGTATTCATTTTTAATTGTCCAGATCTGAAGAAAAATAGTTGAGAAGATTTTTCTTTTTATTTTATTGAGATACCGAAGCTTTTGAAGAAAATGCTAACTAGTTTTCAGAGTTTTTGTCTGAATAAAAGCATTCTCCATCTAGGTCTAATAAAAAAAGGGTGATGTTATTCTACAAGGTATAGCTTAAAAATTTGCTTTTCTGGCTGTTAAAGATCCACAGTTAAAGTTTTCTCTGGAAAGACTCAACATTTTAATTCATAGTCTTTCAAATGTACTTTAATAAAAAGATCTGGATGCTATTTTAGATATTTTCCATAAAGGTTTGGTAATTAATGTTTTGTTGCATGGTCTGAAAAGTTAATTGTTCAATGACACTTGACTGATTTCCTTCAAGACAATGGGCACGATGTATCAATTTGCCTTCCTTTCGTAGGGAAAAGCACAGTCAACGCGTTTGTTTTTATTGTTGAGAACGTGCATTAGAGATGTGGTTGCAAATCCTATTCCTGTGCTACTCTTTGGAGCCAGTGGTGCACCAATATTTAACGTTTTTATGTAAAGTCCCCCCCTTTTTTTGAGACTCAGGATAAAGCTTAGGCTTCTGTGGAGTCCCCTTGACTCGAGACCTTGTGTCTTCAACTTCTCTGTTTGTCAGAGTTGCCATGCCATCCAAGAGGCAGCATCCAGCTGCACGGCTCTTAATAAAGCCACGTTAGCAAAATGTTTCAGTCCACAAATTTAGATAATTGGACAAGTTTAGACAAATTAGACACGTGTGACCTGAACTTCTCAGCTGAGAGCTGATGGGCTCCTAAGAAAAGCTAAGGCAGCCCACTCGCGTTCAGGCGTTTGAATGTATTCTCACAAAAAGGCTTTACAGAGTACTTCTTGTATCTGTGTGTTGGTCTAATTCAAGCTTAAGGTTTGGATCGCCATAAACTCTCTTCTCCTCAGAGTTTGTTTAGGCTTGTGAAGTGCTGAGGTGCGAGTCTGGAGTGCTTTTCATTGGAATAAATCACTGTTTTGGTAGTCTGCTGTGGCCAGGAGCCCCATCAAACTGCTGCTTGCTGACTAATGCCTTGCCTCAAGTCTGCATGTTTAAAGCCTGTGATATATGGGTTGGCAGATGGAGAAAATACCATGCCATTTTTTATGGAGATATCTTTGGAAATGAGGAAGCCTGAAGAGCTAAGAAAAATCTAGCTAAAACTACTGGGCTGTAGATTTAACTGGGCTCTAAATTTATTCTTAAATCAAGGACGCTAAAACAGCACAGGGGTATTAGCTTGTGCAGATTTTGCATGTGAGGACACTGAATTTGATATCACTAAATCAAGTAATAAGCCCAGCCCAGAGTTTGGCTTTCGCTGGGTGAGCACCAGCCGTGATGGTTTACAGCGTTTCACAGCACCCGGTGCGTTGTAGGGTGGAAATAAATCGCTGAAAGAAAATAAAGAGGGTCGTAAACTTGGGCCTCTATCTCTTGTGGTTTTCAGGGTTGTTTAAAGAGTGGTAAAAGAAGAGTAGACGAATAGTAATCATTTCTGTCTCCTGCCGTATGGCAGCAGGTAGCGTATATGTTATGCATGCATGAAGCTTCACAGCACTTGTCTACCCCCTGCTAATCTATTCAGCCAAAGTCAGCCCAAGGATGGGAGCTGGATTTGGGGAATTATCTGGGACTCCAGTGGCAAGACAAAGGAAAGGAAAGTCTGTTGTAGTGTCTCCCGTCCCTGCCATTGCTCTCCTGCTCAGCTGTGTGTCTAAATTATTTTGAACTTGCTCCAGACAAAAACTCTTTTATTCTTGTCGTTCTCTGATCTGTAAGCTCATAGGAAAGAGAACCCTGGCAGGCTTTTTAGTTTTTCTGTTGTAACTCAACATAGAAATTATTTTTAAAATACAAAAGGCATGAAGGTTGCACAGCCAAGACTATTCACAGTGTGCTTCCAAGAAACACCACTGTGTTTCCATACCATAATCTTGCTGTTTATTTAAAACGGCTGCTCTTCCCCCCGCCCCCTTTGATTTACCATCAACTCCAAACCCCCAATTTTTAATGAAATCAAGGGATGTAGGTGATTTCCTGGTTAATTCTCAACCATCGGATGGGAGACGTATAGGTCACGTCACGGTCTGTTAGCTGTGTACATTCACTAGTTAGCTATTCAGTCGTCTTCTCTGGGTCAGTGGTGCCAAGCGTGACTGTGGTTATATATTTAGCTGTGAGCATCAACATTGCTGCGAGAAGTTCTCTGTTGGGACAGCACTGTTGGATTGGTGTCATGTATTTTTGTATGTTGATGATAGCTGCCGCACCATTTTCTCCCTGTACAGCGTTGGCATAGGGGTCCCCGTCCTGCAGTTTTTCAACCCTCTAAATGCCAGGAGGAATTGTGCATCATCAGAATTTGTCCTGCAGCAAAGAAACAAGCATTACAGCTTATTTTATTCCTGTCCTTTACTGTAACAGATGTTTTTCAGCCAGTTTCTATCTAGGGAATGAAATCTTCAGATGAAAGCAAATCCAGGGCACATTGCAGCCTAGAGACCATGCTCATGCTTGAACAAACGCCACATTTAGGGCCCAAGCTACAAGTTGTTCAGCCATCCTGCAAACCATGCCCATAGGCAAATGCACCCGAGATCAGCTTTCTTCATCAGCAAAGCAATGTGGCAAGCTGGCCATCAGGGGCAAAAGGTGTTAAATGTGCTGTGGAGCCAGTGCCCTATGAGCTGGGTGGGCAACCCCCATGATAGTTTGATTTTGCTCTGTTTTCCTACATACCTTTCTCTAAGGTCATTCATAAGGATGTCTAAAAGGATGGTGTGTCTTGATACAACCTTGTTCTGGCATTAGTGAAAGGGCTGGAGAAACAGGGCACATCAGTGAATTCAACCCCATTGCCATAAAAATAGTCAGGTGTTTCCCTGCCTGAACAGCATCTGGTGCAGAGAAATATTGCAAGGGAATATTTTAACGATGCACTACATGTTTTCTTCTTTAAGTCTGTAACCTCTTCTAATCTGCGAGCAATCAGCAATGTTTGGGCTTCCTATAATTGCAAAGATTTAGGCATCTGCCAGCAGATGAGCACGTCTCTGGGTTGAAATCTGCTTTAGCGAGCACTGTCCCCTGAGAGGGGAGCCCGGCTCTCACGGGCTTTGGGGACACTTTTCCATCCACTCCGGTGGGGCCAGAAGGTGACTCTCCCCTAGATCTCACCTCTACAGAGGTCTGTGTAATTGAACTAGCAAACATACCCCAAAAGGACACAATTTGTACCATAAAAATGGGAGACGGGGGCTTGCCAACATAACTCAAGCCAGTTTTCCAAACAAAAGAAAACAAGTTATAGCTGGAAAACAAAAGTGTAGGCCAGGCCTTGGCAAGTCCCATGTTATGGCTGAGTGAAAAAAAAAGTACTTTGGATTGAGGAATTCATTTTTCTATTTTATTTGCCCTTTGGATCTGGAAGTTTCCTTTCCTGCTTTGTACAGCTGTGGGGAGGTTTGAGTTTCCCCTGGTGTTTTCCCCATTGCGTGTCTCCTCCCCTGGCACGGTGCAGTTCCTGCTGCTCTCCAGGAAATCGGAGAAGCAGATTTTTGAAAAGCCAGTGCCATGAGCATTGAAAAGCCAGTGCCACGAGCATTGCTGTGCTGTTTGGCACCAGTAAACAGGGAATATTCGGCGGTTGCTGTTGTCCTCAGTCTTCTTCCCATAAATCATGCCTGTGGACTCAGCACCTTGCTTTCGCTTCTCTATTTAATGGTGCAGAGAAAGAAAAATATGGGGGTGACAGAAAAAAAGTAAAGAAGTTCAGTTTTGTTTGATTGCAAAATCTTTGCTGCATTTTGCGTGTGGTTGAGAAGTAAGAAAGCCTGAGCCTTGTCGTCAAGGCTGGTCACTATCGGTCGGCTTGTAATGCAAAAGCAACACAAACCCACCTTTCCCGTCTCTCTCCTTTGCGTGCAGCACTGCCGGTTTGGGATGTGCGTGCCCAAAGAGCGAGAGGCACCGGTGATAGATGGAGCATGGGGGACGTGGAGCCCTTTCGGGACCTGCTCGAGAACCTGCGGCGGTGGCATAAAGACGGCGATACGAGAGTGCAACAGGCCCGAGTAAGTGCACAGAAGGGAAGCGCCAGTGGGTGAAATGGGGAAAAGCATCTGGGTTGGCCAAATGGGCTGAAATCCCCTTCAGCTGTCCCCAGCCCATGGGTGCCCTGAGGGCTGGTGGCTTTGCCCCAGGGATGGGTGGCTTTGCCTGGCACAGATAAGGCAGCATGGGAACCCCAGAGGTCACAGGTTTGGTTTGTGGATAAAGGGCGCTCAAACAGGATCCATTCAAGAGAGAGAAAAGGAAAATGCTAATATCTGTGTGGATGTATTGCCTCCTGTTTCCCTGGGGAGGCACAGCTGAGTCCCACTTCCAAAGGTGTTTTCCTTCCTCCAAAGTTGTGGATCGGAAAGGAGGGAGAAGGGAATAAGCCAGGTTTTTATCCATTTTTCCCCATTTTACTCCTGCTTCGGCTGGTTTCTGCAGCTGATCCTTTATACAGTTGCATGTCAGCTGGTGCAGGCTAGCCAAACCTCAGCAGAAATCTGTGCCCCATTAAAGAGCGGCACTCAAGAATGTCTGCCGTCAGCCTGGAATGCAAAATCCTGCACCCTTTGAAATGGCAGAGAATTGTGCCGTGGGCCTCAAGGGTACGAATGTGTGGCCAGCGAAACATTGGTAATAGGTTGAGCAACCGGTATGAGCACAGCCTGTTTGCGTAAATCGTGAACTGTGCTGGTTTTTGTTTCTGCCTCCTTTCAGCCCACGAGAGCAAAAAGGGGTGGGCAGGATGCTTTCCAGACTCTCATTTGCAGAGAGAAGAGGGGTATTCAGAGCTGGTTGGACCAAGGGGTCTTAAACAGACTGAGCAGGCTCATTTCCCTTTCTCATCATTGGTGTCGGGCGGCTTATTGCCAAGGAAATTGCTGTTAGTGATGCACCAGTGGCGTTTTCACCACTGCTCATAGGGGAAGGGAGAGCTTGTACCTGTGGCACCGGTGGGGAAGTGATGGGAGAGGCTGGCTCAGCATGGCTGGGCAAGTGTCAGAAGAGAAGAGAAGGGTTGAGGGTAAGGGATTCGGACACCAGCACGTTAATTAACATGATGCTGAGAAACACGCAAGCACAAAGGAGTTCTCGTCTCGCTGTGCTGAGTCAGCACACGCCATATGGTCTTCCAGTAGCCATGGAGACACAAAAATAAAGTATCTTTCCCCACGCAAAAATAGCTATGCTGCCAAACCTTTGGATGCTGTCAGTGAGATGTATGCCCATCTTCTGGAGAGGCATCTGTTTGGACTGATAGCTTTTTGTGATAGAAAATCTCCTTTATCCTAAAGGCGAGCCAAGGGATTTTAAATTCCATCTTCACTTATAGCTTGTGTTTTGTATCTTGGTGTTTTGTGAGGCATATTACGTTGGCTGGGATTTGCAAAAGCACCAAAATACGCTAGGCACCAAGCTGCCTGTGAAATCCCCTGTGCTTAGCATTAATAGTGGCTCTTTTCCAGGCCCCCTTTTGAGAGCTGTGTAGCTGGCACTGGCCTCTCCTCCAGCCCCTCGCGAAGTCTCTGTGGGGAGTCGTCTGCCCTAGCGCTGTCCACGGAGCTTTACACCAACTCTGTTGCTTTGTCCCCATAATTTGACATCGTAGCGTGGGCTCCCACCATCTGTGCCCCTGTTCTCGTGGGGCTGCTGAGATGATGCAAGTGGATGAGACACTGCTGGGTACTCTCCTGCCTCTCCACTTTTCAAAGTACTTAAAAAAAAATACAGAATAGGTCTAGTTGCTGTTTCTCCTCTGTTGTAGAAGGCAGGAAAACCAACCCAGGTACCTTGAAATCGTTTTCAGTAAGTCTGTCATATTCAAAGATGGTTTCACTTTTTAAAGCTTGTTCTGTGCACGAGGATCTGGGGCGGTGTCTTGCATGCCTATAAAATATTGTGTGAAATCTGGCATTGAAAATGAACCCCCCTGCTGTGTTACAGAAAATGAGGCTGCAGCTCCTGCCTCCGTTTGTAATGTGCTCCCACACCTACGTGGACGAGTATCTTGCAGGGCTGTAGGAAGAGCTGTAAGCCTCTGCTGTGGCAGCAGACGGTGTTTGGACATAGACTGCAGGAATGTGTTAGCTAACCAGACCAGACCCTTCTCACCAAGATTGCCCACTTGGGAATTCGAGGCTGGCTGGTGCAGACAAAGCCCACGGCTGCGGTGCATCACGTAGAGGGGCTGTGGTGCAAGCCCTGGTTTTCAAAGCAAGGCATAGCTGCAGAATTACGGGGAAAAGGCATGTTTCATAAGGTATCAATACCAGGAGCCCTGTTTTCAGCAGTGGCTTTCTGGGTGGGGGAGTGTTACCTCTGGATGCGAGTCCAAGCGCGTCTGCGTTTTAGTCCATCTCAAAAGTATCCACCTGTGCTGAAAGCTGTCTGAGCTTGGCATGTAAACACATTTATAGATAACTGTGCTGGCCACTGGCAGCACGTGTACCAAATCCCAGTCCCAGGATGCTGCAAAGGAGATCTCAAACTGGTCTGTGCACTCTAGGGCTTCACAGATTTTCCTGCAGTCACTGCATGAGTGCAGGCACATAGGCGCGTGTGCAGACAAGCACGCGTGCCCCACAGTTGGTCTTCAGGGTCCTTTCGTTGTGTCAGCCTGACTGCCTCCCGGCAGAGCTGCTGCCCTCGGGGCTGAGCCCCCCCCAAAGCTGGGCTTCCCAGCGAGATGCCTCTACCTGCTGCTCTGGGGGCACTGAGGCTTGGGTGCTGCCTCAAGGTCTGCATGTGAAAACATTCAAGGTTAGTAATTGCAGATGATGCATGAAGCAGCGCACATTTAAGACGTGCTGGGAGGAATGTCACGAAGCCGGGGTGTGCGCGGGAGCTTGTAAGCAGAATGATGCTAGATAGAAAGCGGGTCCACACCGGACATTTGTTGATCAAAGAGATGAATCGGAGAGAAGGGAAATCAAGAGCGAACAGGGAGGTTTCTATGCATGCACTGCTTTCCCTTCCATCTTGCGGTACATCGTTGACATTATCCATAAAAATGTTGCGTAGTGTGAAGCATCCCATATTTCTTCATCACACTGAAAATCGATGTTATACGAGGCTGACTTATTTTTCAGGGTCAGCTCTTTCTGTTTACTCAGACTCTGTGACAAGCAATGTTTTTTTAAAAACACCCTTCAGCTGTTGGAGTGGTTTGGGGCTGTTTGGAAATGTCAGAGGTGGGAATGTGATTCAGCCCCGAACGCTGGCTGCGGGGAGATTTGCTGCCGCAGTTACAAAGCTGACAGTTTGCAACACCGATGGCAAGTTTTAGCATCCTTCAGTTTGTGGTGTGTCCGTGTGTTCAATGTTATCTCAGTCTCTCGGGTCACGTCTAGAGAAAAGGAAACTAGCTTAGGACCTTGGGATTTTGTTGGGCATACACTTAAAAAAGGAAAAAAAGAGGCTCCTGCATGTTGTTCTTAACTAACTTAATATTCAAAAGTCTCACTTTAATTAAATTGATTTATATTGGGACCAATGTGTTTACCATAAAAATGTTGTCATTGCAATTTTTTTTAAAGAAATGCCCTGCTAGAGGTTTGCATAATTTAGAGCCTTGGTCAAACTGCAACAGTCCTGTTGCAGTGTAAATGCTTTCGAAGTGAAAATGATGAATCCTGTTAACTCCCCCCTGAATGCTTCGGGCACACCGAGGTCTGGAGTGTGCTGCTGCCACAGCTGAGAAGTTTTCCCTGTGTGCTGTGTAGTGAAATGGTCAAGGCATCCCTTTATAGCTGGAGGTAGATAATGTGCCTGCATGGGGAATAGTCCACAGGATGAGCGCCGGCGGTGAGAAACCCCCAGCAATCACTGATGAGCCTGGAGGCAGGAGGAGTCCGGGATGTATCCGCAGGGGCTGCTGCCCTGGGTCAGCTCTGGAGCGGTTCCAGGTGTAATCAGTTAAATTAATCCAAGTTGTTTGTCATACCGAGGTAAAGAATAGACTAAATCAGTACAAACTGGGTTTAGACCTGCTCTACTAGGAACTGGTGTGAAATCAGTCTGTAAACTGAAATCTGCACCGGACGCTGTGTGGTTGGTTGGGCTATTTAGCGCTGTTAGTTGCCTAATTGCAAGCACCAGAACCTTTGCAAGTGACATCCGTTTAGTTTCCAGATGGCATGTGAGAGTTGCCCTCGGAGCAGGCAGAGCTGATGTGTTACCAGCTATGGCTCTGGGCTGTGCCTAAAGACAAATCATACCCATTGGCATTGAGGAGAGGACTTGAAGGGTCTGCACCAGGGTGAGGTGAGGATGCTGGCAGGAAAAATCCCGTGTGTGTAGCTGTTGGTGCCCTGCATCTCACCCATGGCTGCTGGAGGAGACAACTCCTCCTGCCAAAGCTGCGAGCATCCCTAGCGTGGTGCTGAGGGGGTGGTGGGAAGTCTGCCCGCCCTTCCCTGCTTTGCAGGTAGTCTTTTAGCAAGTGCAAGCCCCTCTGTGTGCCTCTGGCTCCCCATTTATTTCACAGGAACCCTGCTATTTGAGTCACAAATAGTTTTCAAACATAACAGTGAAGAATTGTTAGTTATGGGAGAAAAGGCACTGCTGGGCTTCCTAGGTGGTTGATGTGCAGAGATGCTAAAAAAAATTGTGTTCAGCTGAAGCAATTTGTTAACTCATTGTGTGTAGAGATCCTCGTACATGTGCAGGGGGGTTCTGTCTCTGTTGTGTTAGGAGATGCTGGCTGCATGCAATGTGGAGAGCTTATGGTGGGCATCTCCGTGCTAAGGGCAAGGGTGGTTCCTGTTCACGTTGGTTCACGTTTTGGAGGCTCTCCAAGTGTGCAAACCAGCTTCCTTCCCAAGGAGGTTCAGAGGGAAGATGCACTCTGCCAGCATCCCTGGAGCACTGATGGGCGTCTGGTCCCGGGGTGAGGCAGAGCCAATCCTGAGGAAAAGCCCTGAAAGGCAGGAGGTACGGGTGCCAGGACCTCAGCGCCTGGCGAGTCCCTTTTATGATCTGCACTTCTTGCTAGCGCAGGCACTTGCTTTGTTCAGGGGTTGGGTAGAAGATGTAGGTTTGGTGGTTATTTTGCAGTAGAGACAGGAGCTGGGCACAGGCATTGCCCTGAACTTTGAGGGCTACTCTCTGCCTCTGTACATGTGCCCCACCACAATGTGATCAGGACACGGCGGCTCTGGCTGCTCAGGATGCTCTTGCCCTCTGCTGACTCCTCTGAGATGGTCTGTTAGAGAGGCTGGGGCCAACCTCAGCTGGTGGAGGCTTTCCCATGCTGATGGCTGAGATGCATGCTAACTTCATCTCCCTTGAGTGCAGGTCTCAGTTGGTATCATCTTTCCTTTTTTGGATAATTTTACCTTTGCTCAAGTTGACCCTGACGACGTTTGCTCCAGATCGCAATATCTTTCCTTCTACATTATCAGGGAATAGCAAAGCTGCTTGGGTGCTACTGCAATTTTTATTATGCGTATTAATGGTGGTAGCTTGTAGAAGCCTCCACTGTGCCCTCCTAATTTTATTTGAAGTTTCAGGAGAGAGCAGTAGAGACGGTGGGAAGTTTTTTGGAAGATTTAAAGCACGGTGCATCCTTTTTTATTTTGTTACTACAATTTGTGATATACATAGAGGGCTGCACATAGATGGGCATATGAAATCTTACCCGTGTTCCTGGAGGAAATGTCCCTTGAACAGACAGTAAATGGGATAGCTTGTTATCCCAAGGGTACTTTCCTTGCAGTGTGACCATAGCTGAAAACGAGTCCTCACCAGAAAAGTGCTTTCTGCTGGGCTCCTTCAATGCCGTCCATGAGCAGCTCCCTCCCGCACCGCTGCTGACAGTGGCTGGAGTGGGAGACGCTTTTTCGGTCCCCAAAGTGAGCTGTTTTCTGGCAAAGGCTCCGTCTACATACAAAGACAAAAATAGTTTCATGACTACAGCCCTGAATCTGGGAGTCGAGAAATTCAAAATGACAGTTTCTCCTAGGCTTATCTGCTGGCTTTTATGTGGCTTGGGTAACATCACTCTCCCCAGTTTATACCAGAGTCGTCCTACTATTAAATGGGGGTAAAGTATTTATTGGCTGTCTGTGGTGCTTTCTGGAATCCATGGAGATGAAGTTGTTTAAAAGTGTCTAGCATTACCGTTTCTACCATTTTGGGCTAGAAATCCTGAAGGGCTGAGTGCTGCCTGGCCTTTCAGCCTCTGCAGGGAAGCCCTTTCTCCTTTCTGCCACGATGTTCAGTTATTTGCAACCCACTAGGTCACATGCAAACTCTCAGGGACCAAATCCATGGGACCGGTGGGGTTGTGGAGGGATGGTGCCCCCATATGGGATCCCTCAGTGTGCAACTAAATCCTCAGATGAGGCAGAAGATGTTGCTCTTCATCTCTGGCTTCTCTCGTTACTGCTGCATTTGTCAGCAAATATTCCCTTTTTCATCCCTTTTTAGCAGTGCATAATCTTTCCTGCTTCTCAGCCTGGGATATTTAATTAAAGACATGCGTAGATGTAGGGGGTTGGACTAGATGACCTCTAAGGGTCCCTTGCAACCCAAAACGTTGTATGATTCCATGATTCTGTGTAGACAGTGCCATCAAAATGGTGTTGCAAATACCGATTGTGCTGAACAGGTTGCAGAACTGCAGTTGCATCTCGTTTCCAGCCTGATCCCAGCCCGGCTTCTCTCTCTTGTTTCTGCAGGCCTAAAAATGGTGGGAAATACTGCGTGGGTCGTCGCATGAAGTTTAAATCCTGCAACACTGAGCCATGCTCGAAGCTGAAGAAGGATTTCCGGGACGAGCAGTGTGCTGACTTTGATGGGAAGCACTTTAACATCAACGGGCTGCCCACGAACGTGCGCTGGGTTCCCAAATACAGCGGCAGTAAGTGGCGGGGCGGGGGGGGGCGGGATGCAGACCCTGCCTCCTGCCTCACTGCATCAGGAGTGGTGGCATTCGGATAACGTGCTTCTGGTTTTCCTCCCTCCCATCTCCAGTCCTGATGAAGGATCGGTGCAAGTTGTTCTGCCGAGTGGCGGGAAACACGGCGTATTACCAGCTGCGGGACCGCGTCATCGACGGGACGCCCTGCGGCCCTGACACCAACGACATCTGCGTGCAGGGCCTCTGCCGGGTAAGGATTTTCCCTTCTCTTTAGCGAGGGTGAT